CTCCACCAGCCCAAAATCCCATTTACACCCAAAACCTTCCAATTTTCACCCCAAAAATTCCTTTAAACCCTCCAAAAATCCAATTTTAACCCTTTAAACTCCCCAAAAATCCAATTTTAACCCCAAAAATCCAATTTTAACCCTTTCAACTCCCCTAAAAATCCAATCTTAACCCCAAAATCCCCAATTTTAACCCTTTCAACTCCCCAAAAATCCCAATTTTAACCCCAAAAATCCAATTTTAACCCTTTCAACCCCCCAAAATCCCCAATTTTAACCCTTTCAACCCCCAAAAAAGTCCAATTTTAACCCCAAAATCCCCAATTTTAACCCCAAAATCCCCAATTTTAACCCTTTCAACTCCCAAAAATCCAATTTTAATCCCAAAAATCCAATTTTAACCCTTTGAACTCCCAAAAAGTCCAATTTTAACCCCAAAAAGTCCAATTTTAACCCTTTCAACCCCCCAAAATCCCAATCTTAACCCCAAAATCCCAATTTTAACCCTTTCAACTCCCCAAAACTCCCATTTTAACCCTTTCAACTCCCTAAAAATCCAATCTTAACCCCAAAAATCCAATTTTAACCCTTTCAACCCCCCACAAATCCAATTTTAACCCTTTCAACTCCCCAAAAAGTCCAATTTTAACCCCAAAAATCCAATTTTAACCCCAGAAACTCCCATTTTAACCCTTTCAACTCCCCACAAATCCAATTTTAACCCTTTCAACCCCCCAAAAAAGTCCAATTTTAACCCCAAAAATCCAATTTTACCCTTTCAACTCCCCAAAAATCCAATTTTAACCCTTTCAACTCCCCAAAAATCCGATCTTAACCCCAAAATCCCCAATTTTAACCCTTTCAACTCCCCAAAAATCCCAATTTTAACCCCAAAATCCCCAATTTTAACCCTTTCAACTCCCCAAAAATCCCAATTTTAACCCCAAAATCCCCAATTTTAACCCTTTCAACCCCCCAAAATCCCAACTTTAACCCCCAAAATCCCAATTTTAACCCCCACAATCCCAATTTTAACCCCCGAAACCCCCACGTTAACCCTTGCAGCGCCCCCCGGACTGACGGAATTCCGGGAATTCCCGTTTTTTCGGGAACGCTCAGTCCTCCTCCTCGTCCTCGGCTCCACCAGCCCAAAATCCCATTTAAACCCAAAATCTTCCAATTTTCACCCCAAAAATTCCTTTAAACCCTCCAAAAATCCAATTTTAACCCTTTCAACTCCCCAAAAATCCCAATTTTAACCCCACAAATCCAATTTTAACCCTTTCAACTCCCCAAAAATCCAATTTTAACCCTTTCAACTCCCTAAAAATCCAATTTTAACCCTTTCAACTCCCCAAAAATCCAATTTTAACCCTTTCAACTCCCTAAAAATCCAATCTTAACCCCAAAAATCCAATTTAAACCCTTTCAACCCCCCAAAAATCCAATTTTAACCCTTTCAACTCCC